AAATAAAAGATCAAAATGATTAACAATGCAGATTTATTTTCACAGCCTTCTTTGGTCATATTTACCAAGGGTGCCAATAATTATGACCACGACTGTATATATGTGACCCTGGACCACAAAACCAGTCTTAAGTGTCAATTTTTCAAAATTGAGATTTATACGCCATCTGAAAGCTAAATAAATAAGCTTTCCATTGATGTATGGTTTGTTAGAATAGGACAATATTTAGACAAGATACAACTATTAGAGAATCTGAGGGTGCAAAAAAAAATCTAAATATTGAGAAAATCGCCTTTAAAGTTGTCCACATGAAGTCCTTATCAATGCATATTACTTATAATATATATATTTAATATATATATACTGTAGTTTCAGTGAAGTCAGTGACAATGCAGGATGGGAGCTTTTGCAGGCTGAAGAACAAAAACAAAATTAATTGACAGGGAATTAAACAAACAAATAACTAATCACACACACCCACACATTTCCGAATTACTAAGGAAATATGTAATATAGCTTTGCCCTTTTTTTCATGCTTTGTTATCAAATTTTGAAATATTTCAAAATGGTCTTATTACTAACAAAATACATAGAAATTAAAAAAAAAAAATTAAATGTAAAATTCCACTTGCACAAGCAATTAGACAACTTCCAAATGAAATGCATAGACCGAAAATCATTTTGAAATATATAACACACAACAAAGTCGAAGCAAAGGTCGTTTGAGCATTTTCAGAACGCACAGTACTGAATGCAAGTGTTTCTTCAGCTTTGAGCAGTGCAAGATAAAATAGTCAATAAACCATTAAAGATCATATTTCAATTCTCAGATACACAGAGCAGACATTTCATTAAACTCTCTGTTGCCTGAGCATTTCCAGATGATATACATAAAAATATCACAAGCAATATTGTTCCTAAGTGTCTAAATTCTGTGTAAAGATGAAAGCCATATACAATATGCCAGCTCTGACCTGCCTCACCTAGTATTAGAGGCGGCTTTGGTATTCTTAAAGCTCAGTTGCCACATTTTTATTTATTATTATTATTTGTCATTAGCATGTCAATCAGCACACTAAAAAAAATCAACTTTCAAACACAAAACAATGTTGTGATTTATGATGCATTAGATGCAGCTTCACAATGACAGTTACATTCAATTCAAAATGGCTCAATACGAATTACATTTCACTTAAGCACACATTTGAAATAACAACACAATATGTTTTAAACATCGTTATTATTGCCAAACATTCCAACAAGAGCTCAGTTATCCAGTTGTAAGTGCCAATGAAACAATAAGAAAAATGTAACATGTAAAAAGTTCAGCTGAACTTGTCCTAGAAGACCTGGCTGCTTTATGTGAACTGTAACAGTAACATCAACACATTAACTTAAAAGTCGTCCTCTTGCTCACATCTAATTAAAGTGACAGAGAATATTATAAATACTGAAAGCTGAACAATGATGGTTTGCTGCAGCATGGCACGCTGACTGACAGATGTAGTGTGGTATCAGCAAATCTCCACAATTCACGTGTCTCAGTCTTTTGAAAATATTATCTCACACAAAAATAGAACAATCCCTTGAAGCTGCCTTCAGTGAGAACAATCAACTGCATGTTTTTCACATTCACTGAATTCAAAAGTCGTAACATACAATCAACGCACGTGATTTTCTTTAAGCTAATGAGTGCTGGTCACTTTCAACAGCACACACACACTTGTTAATGAGCCTCAGATTGAAATTACACACATTTATCTTTAAACAGCCACTTTTTAAGTATTGTTGGTTCATGGTTAAAAACAACAGTGAGATATGAACTCGTAAATAGTCATTTTTAGTACTTTTTTAAAGGAACATGACATTTCAGTAATATTTTCAGTAAAGGGATTTTCCTTTCAAATGGAAACAAAAATATCCATATCTCACCTAAAACTCATCAGTTTTAAGTACATCAAGTTGGTAATCTTTAAAACACAGAATAAATGTTAAGCTTCTCAAGAAACCTCCTCAGATTAACGCCTGAACCTTTTTGGTTACAGCAAACCGTAATAATAATTTCTTTTGTCACATTCTTTTGTGAAATGTAATGTCTTTTTGTTAAAAGATGCTACACACAGAAGGAGGAGGACATACTTTAATGGCTGTCGTGAAGATCTTCAGGACGGTAGGCTGTCAAATGTTTCTGAAGCTCAGACAGGTATCAGTTCTTGTGATATTCTTCAAGTCCTTCGTGAAGATGAAAGCACCATGAGCAGGGATGTGAGGTTAGCGGCGTATGTGAGACGTCAGCCCTGCAGGTTAAACGTCCTCAGACAATGGCTAGAACAGCAGTATGCTACAAAACTTACAGTGGTTCTGTGTAAGAAATACAAAGAAAATCAGCTTGTAATATGATGCACTTAAAACTTGTGCAGAAAACATGCAAAACTTAATGCCACGATGCTAGGGTGTTTCTCCTTGCTACAGTAGGTGGTTCTTTTTTTGGCCCAGGTTGCAAGTTCACGTCCAACCATTTTTATGCAAATTCTGAGGAAAATGCTTGATATGACTAAAAACTTTCAAAATATCTTTGCATAAAAGATAATGCAATAAATTGAGGTGTATTATCTGAAGTTCAACATCAGTCAGAATGTGTGTTTAAGGTGATAGCAGCCTCTTTTTCACAAAAACAAAGACATGACCACACATCATTTTTTGAATTTTTAGAAAAACACTTAAAAAATGCTAAATATTGGATGCAAACCCTGCTGATGATATTCTGGTCCATATATAAATATATGATAACACTTTATGATCAGGTTCCATTTATAAACTTCAGTTAACTACATCAGTTAACAAGAACTAACAATGAAAAATACGTAGCATTTATTAATCTTAGTCAATGTGAATTGAGGCATTTATGAATATATGTGACCCTGGACCACAAAACCAGTCAATTTTTTTGAAATTGAGATTTATACATCATCTGAAAGCTGAATAAATAAGCTTTCTATTGATGTATGGTTTGTTGAAAATCTGGAATCTGCGGGTGCAAAAAAAATCTAAATATTGAGAAAATCACCTTTAAAGTTGTCCAAATGAAGTTCTTAGCAATGCATATTACTAATCAGAAATTAAGTTTTGATATATTTACAGTAGGAAATTTACAAAATATCTTCATGGAACATGATCTCTACTTTTTATCTTTACGATTTTTGGCATAAAAAAAAAATAGATTATTTTGACCCATACAATGTATTGTTGGCTATTGCTACAAATATACCCCAGCGACTTAAGACTGCTTTTGTGCTCCAGGGTCACATATTATTAAAATAAAAACTTTTATTTGTTAATATTATTTAATAAACCAGAGCTAACATGAACTAACAATAAACAGCTGTATTTTCATGAACTAAAATTAACAGATTAATAAATACTGTAACAAATGCATTGCTCATTCACAATTTGTTAATGCACTAAGTAATGTTAACTAATGAGACCTTATTGTAAAGTGTTACCCCATCTATCTATCTATCTATCTATCTATATATAAGATGTACTGTATATAAAGATGAAAGATATATGTATATCTTTTATGTATATATGTATATGTATAAAAGATGTTGGTAAATATTAAAGATTAAAATTTTCATTAGAAATATATCCTTTGAACATGAATCAATCAATCAGGGAAAAAAAACATCGTCTCCAAACATCAGCCGAACACTCAGGGTAAGAGGTAATTGGCGAGTGGATTAGATCTCTTAATGCACGTGAAGTAGCTGAGAGCAGCAGTGGAGCAGGATGATTGGGTTACGCTGCTGGACGTTGATACCAAAACCACTGCGTTGCATTACAGATGGAACATGACGGGCAGCAGAGCAAGCACTGCTCATTTCAACCAATCAAACGAACAGGAAGTTGAGGAGATAGAGGAAGTGACAGGGGTCAGAGAAACCAGCGTGAGAGAGAGAGAATGAGAAGAGGCAGAAAGCAAGAGAGTTTTTCTGAATGTAAGAAAACTGAGGATGTTTTTTGGTACATGAATATGCACAATCCCAGAATGCGCATGCATTTAAAGGGGACATACACTACCGTTCAAGTAAGATACTTTTAATGTTTTTAAAAGCAGTCTATTATTGCTCACCATGGCTGTATTTATTTGATGACAAATACAGTAAAAACAGTAATATTGTGAAATATTATTACAATTTAAAATAAGCTGTTTTCTCTTTGAATATATTTTAAAACATAATTTATTCCTGTGATGCAAAGCTGAATTTTCAGCATCATTACTCCAGTCTTCAGTGTCACATGATCATTCAGAGTTGAAAACAGCTGTGCTGCTTAATATTTTTGTAGAAACTATAATATTTTTTTCAGAATTCTTCATATTGAAAGTTCAAAAGAACCACATTTATTTGAAACAGAAATCTTTCATTAAAGATATAATTATTATTATTTATGAAACATCATAAATGTCTGTACTGTCATTTTTGATCAATTTAATGCATCCTTGCTGAATAAAAGTATTAATTAAAAAAAATAAAAATCTTACTTATGATAGAAATATGGTTTTCCTTGATCTTTGCTTGAAATAGATTATTGGATTGAAGGGGCCGTTCAACACAGCACGCGTCTTTGCGTCTAAAATCCGAGACGCAGCACTCAGGAACGGTTTTTAAAAAGCGCAGCGCAGAATGCCTCCTCTGCCATGTTACCGTTCAATAAAACAGTTGCCATGCCAACTTGCTACTGTAAACAAAATCTTGCAACGCTTGCCCCGCCTCCAGGATCTTCTGATTGGTCCACTGCTTTGGAACTGACATTGATGAGTGGTGCCGCGTGTAAAAGTTGGAATTCTTTTAACTTGACATGGCAAAAACGCGGCGAGATACTGCAAAAGACTCAAGCGCAATGGTCGTACGCGTCCGTCTAGCGTGTTTAGAAAAACAATAGAAAAGTAGCGCATTGGAATGCAAAACAGTGTTCTGTGTGAACGGCCCCTAAGGTTGGAAAAGGATGGAAAATAGTAAATAAAAAAATATTTCAACTGTTTTTGGCGTAAGAAACCTTGAATAATATTAGTGGATAAAAATAAATAATAAAAATTAAATTAAATTAGGTGTCTGATATAAACACTTTAAATACAGAGTGACAAAGAGGAAACAAAAGGGAATTTTGTATACGTACCTCTTGTGCACTCCTGCGAGTGCAGTCTCTCTGAGAGGAAACAGTTTAGGGTAGACGATGGTGAACATGGGCTGACTGCAGCGGTGACAATGACCCAGAGGCCATTGGACCACATCTAGCAGACTCTTGGGCAACAGGAATGGTGTCAGGAACTTCACATCTGCACACAAGACGAGAGAACGTGAGAACATTTAGGCTGGTATAGGTGAAGGAACCTGATGCTTTGTCGGTATGTTTGCGACTCTTACCCTTACTGGTCCTGTTGTAGGCCGCATGTTGGACTCTGCATGCCAGCTCTTCCAGAGGCAACACATGGTCCGTCTCAGAGCCGATGGTCTTCAGTTCAGAGGGCAGAGGAACAGTCACATCTCCCAGCGTCAGACAGAGCTGCTTCACGTCAGAGATCTGCCCAGCTAGACCACATCTGTGCATGCAGACAGATAAATAACATCAAGTGAACAGGTTGAAAAAGCCAGGAGACAACCACACCAACTACCATGAAAAGCTATATATATACTGCCAAATCAGCAACTGTGATACTTTGTGTAACTGACTTATAATGTCGGAACTCTAATTGTCTTGTACTGAATCAATTTGATTCTTTATTTCTGGGCTATATATGATCTGAGAAGAATAACATGTAACATTTTAAATTTTGCAATTTAAACTTCAAAATGGGGGAAAAATGAACTGACAGCTTTCATTCAAAAAGACAGATGAAAACATCACCAAACACACTACATAAAAGGCACAGCTAAATCTGCCATTTATTATAATTGGTTTATGTGAATATTGTTTTAGGTTCACTTAAATAAATATTTTTTTAATGTTCTGTAATTGTTACTAAATGACAAATAAAAACAATGTTAAATTGATCATTTGTTTATGTTGTTTCCACATTAACTTTCAACAATTAGTTTTTCCACACAAAGATTCAAGAGAAAATATATTTATGATTACACATTTTAAAATTCTAGGTGTGATTTATCATGATTAATTACAGAAATATGTGCAAGTGATTCATTTATTTATAATTACTTCATAGTAATTTTTAAAACAAAGTTTGGAGTTCGATAGCATACTGCGATGACAGAAAACTCACTCACCCACTGCAGCCGATGACTTTGTTATAAAGATATGACGGTAGTCCCTTCAGATGAGCGTTGTTGTCCACAAAGACAAACTGCAGCTCCATGGAGCGCCCCAGATCTGACAAAAATATACAACATCAGTATATTGCCAACAACATCAAATAATTCACCTGGTACTCATGCAATATATTCCAAGTCGTCTAAAGTTATATAATAGATGTGCACAAGAAACAGAAAACTTCCCTCATCTGTAGCTCTCAATATTAATAACTTTTGGTCTGTTCCTCACAAAAAGCCATCATATGGTTTCACAGAACTCATATGGACTACATTCGGGCTGAGCATAATTAGACAATTGGTTAATTATGATGCTTACATTACCCTTCAAAAGTTTGGGATAAGTAGCTTTTTTTTCAAATGTTTTTAAAATAAGTCTCCAAGGCTGCATTTATTTGATGAAAAATACAGTAAAAACAGAAATATTGTGAAATATTATTAGAATTTAAAATAACTTTTTTTATAATCAATATATTTTAAAATGTAATTTATTCCTGTGATGCAAAGCTGAATTTTCAGCATCATTACTCCAGTCTTCAGTGTCACATGATCCTTCAGAAATCATTCTAATATGCTGATTTGCTGCTCAAGAAGCATTTCTTATTATTATCAGTTTTTAATATTTTTTTCAGGATTCTTTGATGAATAGAAAGTTAAAAAGAACAGCTTTTATTTGAAATATATATTTTTTAATAACATAATAGATGCCTTTACTTTCAACTGAATGAATTCTTGTAGAATAAAAGTATTAATTTCTATCAAAACAAACAAACAAAAATCTTACTGACCTCTAAAATGTTTTGTCCTTTTGTGTAATTGTAAATGTTACCGTCTTGATGGTATCTGCTCACCCAGGGGCAGTGATGTCAGGCAGTTGGCAGCCATGGAGAGCTCATTGAGGTCGGGCAGCAGACAGAGCTGGCGAGGAAGGCAGTGCAGCTGGTTGCGGTCTGCTGTCAGGCACTGCAGGGACAGACACTGATGCAGACGCTCCGGAAGAGTCCTCAGGAGGTTCATGGACACGTCGAGGGTCTCCAGCTCTCCGAGATCGCCCAGCTCTACCAATACAAGCACATATACTTTTCTGTTAAAGTTTCAATCAGGTAAAAGCAGGATAGCAAGATATTATAACCCTAGAGACTCTCGTTATGCCCTCTGCTGGCAAAGACAGGAGCCTATACATTATAAGATATTGAAAAGGAACCATATTTGTATTAATGCATAAAAAAAAAAATCACAAACATCTCACATGTGTGCAATGCATTTCACTAGTTAAAATATGCTTGAAACTGTTGGAACAATTTATTTTAAAACACTTAGTTTGGAATAATTCACATATGATAAAGTAAAGCCAGGAACAGTCTCGGCTTCAGATGAAACACTGCCCAATTAAAATGGAAAAGAGCAATAAAAGACTGATATGAAACAAATGTGTATTTTGAAGCAAAGCATTTAAAGAGAGTGTCAAAGAGCTTAATCATTTCCCCACAGTCTCTTTATGAAGTTTTACTCCTCAGAAACATTTAAGTGTCATGTTGAGCACAAAAATGTAAGTTTCTTTGCTATATGAAGTTTAATAACTGCAGTGTGTACTGAGGTTTAAAAGTCTCCTCATACTCAGCTGGTGAGTAAGAAATTATTTGATGCAGTTAAAGCTGCTTAATTACACATGGAAAAAAAAATGTTACAGATAATGTCTATGAATTAAATGGGCCGTTTAACTAGAAAGATTATTCATTACACTGTTGCAGGAAGGCAGCACTGTATTTATATTCCGCTCTCAATTTTCACAATCTTCTGTAAATAATTCAGCTCGAGCCACACAGACTTCCTTCAACGTTTGGAATATTCAAGATCATAAATGCACATAAATCAAAATCATGTTCTGTTTTAATTGACTTTCAATTATTTGCATTGAACTATTATTTTTATTATTCTTAAGCACGGTAAAGCAATAAAACCAAATATAACAGCAATTAATTTTTGGTTTATTATCAGACTTTCCTGTGCATATCAGAATTGAGAATCACTATTATCAGTAGCAGCAATGCAATCGTTCTCAGTTTTTTAGATTAATGCTGATAAATGTTCGTGCCTCACCTTGCGGGAGAAATTTCAGTTGATTGTTGGCCAATCGCAGATGTCGTAATGAGCGCAGCTGACCAATCTCTGGACAGATGACCTGAAGAGCGTTGTCACTCAGGTCCAATGACTGCAACTTCCCCAGGTTACCAATTGCTGGAAATACAACATAATGTATAATGCATAATGTATCTGACATCAAAATATTGCTATACGGTATAATCATGAGATAAAATTACCTTGAGGAATTATCGCAATATTGTTTGAGTGCAGGTATCTACATGAAACGAAAGAAAGATGGCGGGACTATGTTTCATAATCTTGTTTTTCCATCAGATGTTGTACAAATGTAGCTCAAATTATTAGATTTGACCAAACTCAGACTTGTCACACAGCTATTATTTATAGGTGGGTAAGAAAACGTCCCAAAGATTGAGGGACCTCTACTGGACAACAGTAATATTACAGTAGAACAGAACTGACAACTACCGTAACACCATAAACAAAATTCAGTATAACATTGATTAATACTCACAATTCTATCAGGTTGGGAAGTTTCTGAGCCAGATTGTCTGGCTGACGGGAGGAAAACAGTATTAGGATGCAAAATATTTTCACAATATTTCAATACAGGGCCAAATCAAATATGAAAACCAACATCACTGGGACTGAGATCTTACAAGTGTTGTGAGGGAGTTTCTCTTCATGAAGAGACGCTCCAGGAACTGCATCCCTTCATCTTTGAGGAGCTCCACAGGGAAAATGTTGAGGTTTCTGTAGTTCAGGAAAAGATTCTTGTGTCGCTCTTGCTTGGCCATAAAAATCGCTTCATGGAGTTCAGACGCCATGGCTGCGAGAACCGAGTCTTTGGCTGAGAGAGTTTTCCCTCTTTCAGCTTCTACTTTTCCATTCTGAAAGACACATTTTAAAGACATGTTTTTATTATTTAAATTATAAATAAATACATGTATTTACTAAGAATTAGGACAAAAAATACATAGTAATTGAAAATAAAAATAAAAAGGACAACATTAAAAAATAATATAAACAATAAAATAATGATATTAAATATTTTATCGGATCAAAGGTGAGATGTATTGTACAGAATGACAGCAACAAATGAAGTTACTCATGAACTGATGGTTACTAGCAGCATTACAGGTGCATCTCAATAAATTAGAGAGCCACCACACACGGACGTGTCAAGGATTTTGGCTACAGTTGTCGTATTCCTCTTGTTAAGCCACTCCTGAACCACAGACAACGTCAGAGGCGTCTTACCTGGGCTAAGGAGAAGAAGAACTGGACTGTTGCCCAGTGGTCCAAAGTCCTCTTTTCAGATGAGAGCAAGTTTTGTATTTCATTTGGAAACCAAGGTCCTAGAGTCTGGAGGAAGGGTGGAGAAGCTCATAGCCCAAGTTGCTTGAAGTCCAGTGTTAAGTTTCCACAGTCTGTGATGATTTGGGGTGCAATGTCATCTGCTGGTGTTGGTCCATTGTGTTTTTTGAAAACCAACGTCACTGCACCCGTTTACCAAGAAATTTTGGAGCACTTCATGCTTCCTTCTGCTGACCTGCTTTTTGAAGATGCTGATTTCATTTTCCATGACATTCTAATTTATTGAGATGCACCTGTATGTAATGTCAGACACTAAATAAGGACATACTAACAGTATGAATCAAGATGAGCTCAGATAGTGATGCTGTACTTTTATTCAGTCTGATAACATACGATGAGCGTACATATGAAACATCGACTAACATTACCTCCTCGGCAGCTCACATTGTTGCTTTTTAGAATCAGCGGACAATAAAACTGACCTACGCAATACAAAACACGACAATTAATATCATTAATGAATCGGCAGCTTACAGCGCATCCTCAGGAGTTGTTTGTGTACCGAACTGGCCTTCCGTCTGCAAACAAACACGTCACTGGATACGGGCAGAGAGCATCATGGGGAATGTAGTTTTTTCCATTTGTAGTTTTTTTTTTTTCATAAAAAAAAAAAAACTGTAGCGACACATTTCACAGCACTATAACTATATAATATAATATAATATAATATATTAATAATTTCAATGTAAGGTTTATTTATCTTTATGAACAACAAATGTTATGCTTTTGAACACATTTGATGCTTTCAGAAGTCCACTGACAAAATAACGTATTACTGGAAACAATACATTAAATTGCTCATGAAGTCATTGTTTTTACCTATTAAAAGCTACTGCTACCATATTGATTAATAATTTAATAATAATGCATGATTTAATTTTCCTCATGCATGACATCACTGACAATACATGTAACAGTCCTTTCTGTGACACACATGAACACTGCACAAAATGCCTTGAACCATGTTCGTTTTATGAATGTATTAATTCACTGAAATGCAAAAAAGAGATTTGTAGCTAACGCAGGTGAAAATATGCATAAGGCATTTAATTCAAATGTAATTATATTTATTAATATGCTGTCTTGTGCATTAACTATAATTGAGTTTACAGTTCTGCTTCATGATTAATCATCCAAACCTACTTAATATGCAAATCAAATCACAAAATGATTTATTAGTGTATTTATGATCAATAATATAGTTTTTTAAATAAGTACCCCACAAAAACATTATCTGAGCAGTGTGCCATCATAAATCCATTATGTTAATTCTCTCCATTTTCCTTTCCCTTTTCAAATTTATACAAAAGAAAACAACACAAATAAAGTTAATAAGTGCCTTTTTTAATCAGAACAGCCAGGTTTGAACAGACTTGGACCACAAAACTTTCTCCATTCTCCCCTCCCATTCTGGATCTGTAACCCTCTTTATACACCAACACACACATATCGAGCACGTCTCAACTGAACCACCAAACATTATGCTCCCCTTGCATCAAGGAGTGAAATGGAATAACATGAGACGCGACACAACCCTTCTTCACGTTCTAGATGGCGCCATCAGATCACAAACACCTCTAATGCTCTCCTCTCAACCCTCACGTAACTCTCAGAGCACACCACGTTGTCTGGACTTCAGAACAAGCATCTGGTGAGATGATGGAGAGCAGCAGTTTTCAGCAGCAGGGTACAGCGAGCGCCGAGGAACAGGTCACTTCCTGTCCTTCTGACGGCCACTCCGAACCTTCAGCCCTGAGAATATCTTAGCCCATAGTCAACAGATCTGTAATTGAGAAATCAGCCATTGGTCGGGTGTTGCGGCTCCGTAAGCGGAGACGGTCAGAGGGGAGCATTAGGATGGTGTCTTGCACAATCTTTGATTAACAAAAACGATGAAAAACGCAGAAAAAAAAAAGGCCAACTTTTGGAGGGCATAACATTGGTGGCACTATACACTCTAAAAAATGCTGGGTTAAATATAACCCAGCGCTGAGTTAAAAAGGGACAAACCCAGCTATTGGGTTGTTTTGACCCAGCTATTGGGTTGTTTTGACCCAACTGTTGGGTTGTTTTGACCCAGCGGTTCGGATGTTTTGACCCAGCTATTGGGTTGTTTTGACCCAGCTATTGGGTTGTTTTGACCCAGCGGTTGGGTTCAAAACATCCCAACCGCTGGGTCAAAACAACCCAATAGCTGGGTTTGTCCCTTTTTAACCCAGCGCTGGGTTATATTTAACCCAGCATTTTTTAGAGTGTATGATCTTATTTCCCCCCAAAACTCACATTTTCCATATAAAGTTATTCTAGTGAAAAATTCAGGATATTTACAAATATTTCTTGCATCTGGTTATTATTTCTGTTTAGTCGGCTCAATATCTGTGGTAAAAATGGTTCGTTCCATACGGTGTTGATCTTTTGTCTGGGATTTTTCTTAATAATGAAAAAAATATATATTGATATAAACCAGGACAAACTTATCATGATGTACATTGGATGCACCTGACAGCAGCAAAAACTCAAGTAAATCTGTTTATACTCAAAGTGTTTTTGCTTCAATGAACATTAGGTTTCTGATGCAAGAATAACACTCCAATGAATGTATAATGAAAAGATAAAACAGAACCATGCCAACAGTGGGATTCAGAGACATGAAAGGGAGAGGAGAGCAGAACCAGTATATACTGAAAAATAAATCCATTCTAATTATTCCATCTATCGACCTTTGCCCACAAGTTAAAAGATGGATAAATTAAACATCAACAACATTCCAGCACATTTGGAGTCAATTGTCAGACCTGTTCTTGTTTTAATCTCACAAATAAATAATAAACAAATTTAAGCAAGATCCGATTGGAAAGAAAGCAGCTAGTCAATACAAAATGTCCATAACTCGGTAATTTGTCCACTCCGAGATTGTGGTTTGTAGCGTTTATGAGGCTTTACCCAGATGCAGAGAGCAGTAATATTGTCCTTTTCATGAAAAAAGGTCAGATGCACTTTATATATAGGTACATAAAAAAAGAGTGAGGTAGATAAATGTCTGAAGCAAAAAAAAAAAAAAAGTCCCCATGTCGTGGAAAAAAGCATATAAAAATAGGGTTACAGTGATTGTAAATGTATCACAAAAAAAAAAGAAAAAGGAAATAAACAAAATAAATAATGAAATAAAAAAGGCCAGGGTGGGGGAAAAGAAAAAGTGAGTTTTTCCTTTGAAAAATCCTTACAAAAAAAAAAAAAAACTCAAAAACTGGCGCTCATAGTCAAACCTGTATCTTAAAGCGATATAAGTGATCTATGTTACAAACACAACTTCTGCATAGAGATATGCTGAATCATATCTGTATAATCGTTTATCAGGCTCCGCTCGGAAGGAAGGAAACGCAGAGATTATAAGATCAGGGCCTTCAAAGGGCGGCAGGATCAGTCACAAATAAGACTGAATGATCAATGTAAAGAATGAGACGAGTCGATCTTTAAGCAATGAAATCAATTCAAAATTTGCCACATTTTTCAGTCAGATTTTGTTGATTAAAGAGGAATGAATAGCGAGACGAGAACACATCGGGGTCTGAGATCGAAACTGTTAGGATTCTGACCTGAGAGTATTCATGTGATGAGAGACACAGTGTCGAGCTGTTACAGAATCACGTCGCTGGGTGCCGCCATTAATGGCATGAAGACAGAAGATAGTGTGTTCATCTGCCGGTTTAGCTTTTAAAGAGAGAGAATCTATCAAAACAGAAGGGATTAAACAACTTTTCATTGCAAAACTCAACTGTTAGAATGAACCTTCTATTGTTTTTTTTTCTCGTTTTGCAGAACTATAAAGCATCATAAAATGGACTGTAGTGGAAAGGCAAAGGATTACACCTGAAAAATCTCTTTACATTTATATATATGTATATATACACATTACAACTACAAAAGAAAAACAATAATAAAATAGCAGCTTTTTTTTTTAGCACAGACACATAGATGATCAATCTGAACTGTAAAAAAGGTACAAAAGTGGCCGACAAACGATGCACATGCTCTGTGGTCCGACATACGACTGAACAACCGAGCGAGAGAATTGCTGTGAGCATTTCAACTCCACAAAGTCACGACTTTAAACCTTTTGAGCTTCTTTTTTATCCAAATCCCTTAAAGTTTCTTTGCGATGTAACATCTGCTGCATCTATTGCTCGACTTTTGCATTATTCCGTCCTAAATGTGTCTAACCCAAAGCAAGAAGACAGAAAAGTGGGAATCTGGGAAACTCTCTTACTGACTGTGATTTTAAATGAATAATTCTATCCAAAAATGAAAATCTGCTGAAAATGTACACACTCTCAGGCCATCCAAGATGTAGATGAGTTTGTGTCTTTATCTGAACAGATTTGGGGGAATTTAGCATTACATCACTTGCTCACCAATGGATCCTCTGCAGTGAATGGGTGCCGTCAGAATGAAAGTCATATTTTACATCTAAGTGACAGTTTAAAAAAATAACACACCTTAAAGATGAATTTGTTTATTACAAACACAGCTTTTCCCTTCACAAGCTGTTAATGGACTGGAGTTGAGTGGATTGCTTATGATGTTTTTATCAGCTGGTTGGACTCTCATTCTGACGGCACCCATTCACTGCAGAGGATACTTGATGAGCAAGTAATGTAATGATACATTTCTCCATCTTGGATGGCCTGAGGGGGAGTACATATTTTGTAAATGTTCTTTTTTGGGGTAATCCATTCCTTTAAGTACAAGATGGTTTGGATCACCAGGGTAAAAAACTGTCATATGTATTTTGAGGAATATGGATGCACAGGGAATTAAACGAAAAGAAAAGAAAGACATTTGTCAGATTAAAGAATTTCTTCTTCACTACGTTGCACAGCCAGATGATTTGGAGAAAACGGAAGCCAAAGATTTCCATACCCAGATCTGAGTTGGGTCAGGGGAACGAACTTCTAAAGACAGGCCGAAAGAAAAACTCGCACATCTTTCTCTAATTTAGACGCACGTCTTTGGAAACAAAGACAAGAGCAAGTGCTTCGCTGTTGGATTCGCTTAGAGATATGCAGAGGGTGTCGTAATAATGCCACCGTACCACTACTGGCTCTGACAGACCTTCAAACCAGTTTTGGAAGTTTAGAAAAGTAACAAAACGTAACAAAAACAGTCAGCCTATCGAGTGCGAGAGTGAAGGTCATGGGTTTTCAGTCAGTGATCCAGTCTGCGGAAATAACAAATGAGTTCATGTCAATCAATTCAACGATTCAATCGAAATACACAAAAAAACAAAGAGATCCAAACTTTGTCCGTTGAGGTATGATTGAAAAGATTGATTGCCTGGACTCTCAGTTTGTACCATTTTTTTTCTTTCCTTGTCTCTTTATTTTAATATTTCTTCTCAGGAGACCACACAGTGGCTTGACAGACAGAGACATGTCCGGAAACGGGACCGGGCCATCGATCAGAAAGCCTTCGACTGGGGCAAAGGCAAGGCACGCTCGTTCTTACGGCCCCCGTTCATGTGAGCGTAAGACTGGGTC